AAGCTGGTCTAGTGGGAGGTGTCCCTGCCCATGGCAGGGGGTTGGAACTAGGTGATCTTCAAGGTCCTTTCCAACCCAAACCCTTCTGTGATTCTATTCTATGATGAGATAAAGTTCATCCTTGCAAGACAAGACAGCAGAATGGGCACCTTGTGAACAGCATGAGAGCAAAGGGCACCTGTGCTCACAACAGTACAGTTCAGCACTGGAGGTTTCACTTCTAACACAGGACAGCTGGAGGAGAGCAATGCTTTGGGCTGCTCCTGCTCCTGGGCTTGTAGTTGCATTATTATTACTTACTGGATTGAGCTGTCAATCAAACCACTATGAAAAAGAGAGGCAGAAAAGAACCATTTACGATGAGCAGTAAGTACCATTGCTTGCAAATGCATTTGTTAATATGGTGTGCCAGTTTGTTCATATGGAGTGCCAGTAATGGGAACAGAATGGCTTCACTGCAGCTCTTTTTTTTACATTCTTCTTTGACAGATATGTGTAACTAAATGATCTCTTTGTTTTTTCCGTAATACAACAGGCCTCGTTTGTCCTCAGAGCAGGGTAATTTAGTGTTCCATGCTGGCTCCAGCAAAAATATTGAATTTAGAACTGGACCACTGGGAAAAATAAAAATTAATGATGACGACCTTGCAGAACTTTTTAGTCAGGTAATATAGTTACTTTTCCTTAATATGTTTTCCTTTTCAGTTTTGCACATTAATAGTTTTTAATTGTCTTCAGAATTTTCTTAGCAAATGTTTGATGTGTTCTGTGTGATTATTTTATATTATCTATCTGTCAGCACTCTACTATGAAAGTAAACTATTGCAGACTTGTAATCATGTCATTACAGAAAATAATTAAAAGATTAAATTGTGTGTGTAACAGAGCTCTCTGTATTTAAGTGGATTTTATGATAGTAAAGTTAAGCAAGAATGAAACTTTCCTAAGCTTCTGAAAAAGCAAAACTTGTTTACATTTGTAAGCTTTGAAAAAGCTAAGCTTGTTTCACATTATCTCTGCTGTTTAAACTTAGGTGAGAGAAAATAATGCAGAGATTCAAGAACTTAAAAAAGCCAATGGTGCCTCTCAGAATGTGTCCCAGCATGTTGCTCTGCTGACCTCCAAGGTGAGCCATACCCTCATGTTATCCTCCAGTGTTCCCAGTTTTCCGTTCCTCAGATTAATATTGTTACCTGATTAATTTTAATATTTCTGGACTCCAATCCAGGGAACTGGGGCAGAGTCCATATTTAACATCAGCTCAGGGTGTATGTTTAATGTTGAGATACTTATTCAGTAACTGTGGAGACAGTGGAAGTATTCCTGTAAATCCCATAATTTTCAGTTACAGGATGCTTCTTTTATACACTGTCAACATCTCTATGGACTATGTCCTCTAATATTTATGAAGTGAAATCCCACTAAATTCAGGAGATGGACTATATGTGTTCTTATAGTTGTTGCACAGATGTTCCATTCCATAGGTGAAATGGGCTATAGGGGTTTTAAATGGAAAGAAAAGGCCTGTGGAGTGGTTTTGTCTTTTTCCTCCTACTAAAGATTTTTCTCCAACAGAAGATTTTGAAATCTTTGTCAGACTTGATTAAAGTGTCTTTTGTTAGTGTTGCCACAAGTTTCTTACAGGAACATATTTTATAGCCGAAGAGACCTCCCTTCAGGGAAATTGTGCTGATACATACCCATCACATTCCCTAATCCAGTTTCAGCTTGCTGCTTGGGGTTGTATCCCACCGAGGTATGGTGAACCTCTTAGCTTTTGGTGCACTGCCTCAGACCCCCGTCCTCTGTGTGCACGCGAGTACCCAAACAGTCCTGCTGGAATATTCACATTCTCAATGTTGAGCACCTGAACACACCTTCTCAAGACTGAGCCTTGCTTTTTTTGGAGCCAATCTGGGACGTATTTAATGTGTTATTTTCTGAACAGCCTAAAACACCAAAATCCTGGTGAATGGGGTCTGATTTGAATCTGATTGTCACCTGGTTTCACATACCTTTTCTCAAAAGAAAATACTTATTAGCCTACCAGCATCCATCACGTACCTCTGTGGTGACTCTTATGCTAAGCATCATGTAATTTGCATTTCTTTTGCAGATTGTGAGTCTTGACAACAAACTTCAAAGCTTAGAGCAGGTGAGTAAATAGGAAGCAAACTAGAGATCAAAAACCAAAAACCGTGCCCCAAGTAAATAAAGTGAGATTACAGTGATTAAATAGCCAATGATTTCTTTCCTCTCATGCATTACTCAGGAAAAGTTTTTTTGGTAGCAGGAGATAAAAATAAGCCAAGCTTGTGGAGGAGGTGAAATGCTGCCTTACAAAATATAAACTGTGTAGGAGCCTGCATTCCTTAAAGGAAAAACAATTGTAGACTCAAGAACAACAACTAGATACCAAGGAGAAGTAAACTGTTCCTTCACTGCTCTGTCAAGATGAAGGCTGGAGAATTCAAACTGGATTTTATATTGCAGTAGCAATAGCTGGTTTTCAGCTGTCACCTGCTTCTCCACTGAGCTTGTGACAAGCCACAGCTACAGCTGCCAGCAAAAGCGGTTGTTAGATGAGACACCCATGGAATCAAGAAGACAAGATAACCCCCCCCCCCAGACTCACTGTCTGTTGCCAAAGAACAGTCTCTATTAATGTTTAGCTCTTACAGGGCTTTTCTCATCCTAGTGCTTGCAGCCAGCCACCCCATGTAAGACCAGTCATATTAGTCATTATTTTGCACAGGGATAAGTGAAAGAGCTCAAAACTGTTACACATCAACCTTGCTGGAAAAAAAAAGGAGGGGGCAGGGAATAACGCTCAAGAAATAATTAAAAAAAAAAAAAGAGGAGGGGAGGAGGGGGGAGGGGGGGGAGTTTGTCTTGAAAATAAATGCTATTGAAACACCGAATAAGCAGGAACCTAATTCTCTGCTCTTTGCCTGGGTTTCAGGCTATCCAGAGGAAAGCCTGCAGTAGCAACCCCTGTGAAAACGCAGGGACCTGTGTAAACTTGCTGGATGGTTTCTTTTGCCTCTGTCCCAGCAACTGGCAGGTGAGTCTTTAGCTTCTCTGAATATAGAGCATGTATTTTAACCGTAAGGATACACCTGGCTCTGTAATTGTGATGAAACGTGGCATTTTAAGGTTACTTAGGACAGAGTGAGATATACTGAACAGTAAAGCAACATTATCGCGCTCATAGTTTGATTGAAGGGCGACACATTTGCTTCTCAACAATACCAATATATACCAAACAAAGCCCAAATGGTTGGCCAGACCCTGCACCGTTATATGTGGGCATCGGCCCATGAAGTCAGTGATGCTTGGCAGTTCCCACAGCAGAGAATTAGCCTTTGGTTTTTGCTGAGCAGTGAACTGAACGGCATGCTGTGCTGTTACTCTTATGCAAGGGCAGAGAGAGAATGGGGGAAGGGAAGGATATTTATTCAAGCTTAAACAAATACAACAAGTGGGGGTGTAAGTAATCAATTCCATTCTGAGTTTTTTAAATACAAACATTTTACCAGTAAAGGCTTTAATGATGCTGTTACACGCACTAGAGATGGAAAAAATATATCTTCTTCTGAAAAGGTCTTTAACTTGAAAGCTATTCCAAATTGCTGTGTTTCAGTATTAATAAAACAGCATCTCCTGATAGAAACAGTTTGAAAGAAAGTTTTCTGAGCCTTTTGCTAGCAAGTTTGAAAGTAGGGGGATGACAGTACTATGCTGTCCATATGCTTTCTACAAACATCTGAAATATTTTATCCCCCATCTGACTGATAACCAGGGTCACAGAAACACAGCTGAAAAATAGTTTTGTTATAATGTTTCATAAGGGAATCTGTGTTGATAGCAGCCCATGGTTTGTATATCTTTGGAAACTATTAAACATTGGGTCCATGGTTTACTTCATTTCTCAGTTATTTGGAAAATAAACTGGTTTTCCATTTCATCTTAGGGCCTCCTGTGTTCAGTGGATGTTAATGAATGCCAGATTTATGCTGGAACAGCATTAGGCTGCCAGAATAGAGCCACTTGTGTGAACACACCAGGCAGCTACAGGTAACTTTTCAAAACTAGACACAAAAATCCAATGTAAAATACTCTGCTGTTTTTGTACCCTGTATCACACCTGCAGCACAAGTTCTAGGAACAAGTCTGTTTATTGTCTATGCAATATAATCCCTTGCAGTCTGAGAGAATATGAAATCCTTAAGACACAGAAGGCCCTTGAGAGCCATTGCCTGCTTTGACGCAAGAGCAGCAAGAACTGGATTTATCACGCAGCCACACTGGGGCAGAAGGCTGCAAATTGGAGACTAGCTCCAGTGACCCAGCCCTTTGTTGTAGGTGCAGATGCTTTAATGGACATTTACTGCACCATGGGATGTAGGTGGGGTGGTGAGATGCAGCATGCTGCTCCGTAACCAGCACTTGCCAATGTGCCCACCTAGCACAGCCACATTATCAGCTCTCCATTATCACCTACCCCTTGAGACCAAATGGAGTGAGGAGATGAAGGAGGAGGACAGCTTTGGCCCAGCAAAGGCTTTGAGTTATTGGAAACCTTCTGAATTTATGGGCACCCTTAATCACTGACATTCCCAGCACATTGCAGAACTGAGAAATGCCTTGATCCTCTCCAGAAATACAGGCAGGGCTAAGGCTGCAGCAGAGCAAGCAATGCACAGTGCTGCCAGGCAGAAAGGGAGGAGAACTGCTGTCTGCAGATAGCTGGCCAGCAGGGTGCCTGGGCTGCCTGTGCTCGGAACCCCATAGACATGAGGTCCCTGGAGCATATCCTCCTCTGGCTGTGCCCAGCTCCTTAGGAAACACACTCTTGTTTACAGGCCAAGCCAGCCTGAACGTTCTGTGTCTTATTTTCCAAAATGTCAAATAATCTGGTAAATAAATAACTTTCAGATGTAATACAAAGCTGTGCCTGTGCAATGGGAACAGGCAGGCTGGAGATCATGCCACGGCTTTCTGCAATGCATTTTGTCTCCTGCTTCAGCATGAAGATCTTAGCCGCCACAAATATTTGCTTGGTGTGACACTGGCTTAATAGTGCTTTGTCAGTGCTTGGAAGAACCTTACACAAGGGAAGTTTTCCTGCAGTGCTCCTCGCACTTCAGCGTTAACACAGATACAGAGGTGTCACTGGTACGTGATGCTTCCCGTCAGCTTTTCTTTGATTTTAAAGGATGTTTCTAGCTTGCCTACAGCTGTCCCCAACACGGACATTTGTCAAGGAAATGACACACAAAGCAGCCTGCCTTTACTTTTTGTTTCTTACTGTGTTCAGAGATGTGGTGCACAGGTGTGTGACTAAGTTTTGAGAGGGCAAACCCTCTGCCTTTCTCGCAAGTGGGTGGTGTTGTGTTAGTACAGTCATGATTCCTGTGAGTTTCTTCCCCAATGTAATTCTTGCCTTCCTTGGTACTTGCCGAAACAGTGCTTCCTGAAATGAACTAAGACTTCTTCATAAGTCATCTAAATCTTAATGTTACTGCTTTTGCACTATGCCTTCAGGACTATTGAGGGCATTGAGGCATTGAGTCCTTTCCCCAACCCCATTGTGCTGTCTTCGCAGTCTCCCTTCACATACTGTCTGTCTGTACGAGGAAAGAGAGCAGCTGTTCAGGAAATGCCTTCCTGAATCAGGACCTCAATGGGACATTGCATTGATTGGATGAAAGGCTGTGAGAGTCCCCAGGTCTATCAGACTTTTATGTCAGAACCAAAATAACAGGGGCCTCATCATGACATGCTGTCAGCATGGAGAGAAGCGGGGCACTGCTGAGCAGCAGTGCATCGCAATTTGGCTGAAGCTCCTTGCAGTGTGACCTACTTCTTGAAGCTGTTCTCTGAGCAACTTCAGGTGGGTAGCAGATTAATCTTTGCCAGACTAGGCAGGAGACAGTGCTGTTGTCCTCCTCCTTTGGAGCCAGAGTGCCTTGCTGTGTCCTTTGGAGTTGAACATGAAGCTCTGAATGTACTTTGAACACACAGAGGTGATCTGGTTCCCTGACCTGTTGCCTCTGTGCTTGCCCATGTTGAGCTAATGCACTGGTGAGATGCTGCTGGTCTATCTGCCCTCTCTTACAATAGTGAACATGCTGTCTTACAGTACTACACACAGCAGTTAAGCATTAAGCCATCATGTTTTTTTTAAGCCGAAGTTCATCCAGGTTGTTCGTCCTGGGTGCAGCAGTTAGTTACCTGCAATTGGCTTATCACACTGCTATTTCAACTGAGCATGTGACTCCCTGGTAGCATAAGTTGCTCCAAGGTCCAGATTAGCTGCACTGGAAAACTGATTCAAATTCTGCAGAAAAATGGTTTTACAGAGTGGTTTTAATTAGCCAGCTTAAAAGAAATTCAACAGGTGTGTGTACCTGCTATATGTCCCTGTGAGGAGCAGACATCGCAGCATATAACTTGCATGCAAATAAGTGTCTCTTAAAGAAAATCTTGTGAATCGATAGGAGGCTTTCTGTAGGTTTAGGCCCCTTTCAGTTGTATTTCAGAGCCTCAGCTTTGGTCCATGTGGAAATAAAGGGTCAGAAAAAACGGAAATGTTACCTGATGGCTTAGAAGTTCCCAATTTCAGTTCCACCACCTACGTACAGTGCTGTGACTAAGGTGTGCCCTATAAACAATGTGATGCAGCTGGCAGCCCATAAGCCAGATCCCTCCTGTAGAATGCCTCCCTTCAGCCCACTACTTTGTTCTTCCCGCCCCATCAGCCAGGAGGCTGCCACGTTCCTGCCCACCACACTCACCTGAAAGCTGGGTGGCTGCTGCTGAGACAGCAGCTACCACGTCTTGAGCTGTGAAGGTGCCTGGGACAGGCCAGACACAGCATTTCTGCCTATTGCTAGAGGTAAGGTTTAGGTGCCTGGCATCATATGAGAGTCATAAACTGAAACACAAGGTTTAGGTGCTCTCTGACTGAAGTGGGGATTTCCAGGCTCATACTCTACTGAAGTCTCATGTTAGACGTTTCTTTTTTTTTCTGGATTTGCCCTTATGAACATAACAGAAGGTTGTGGATTCTCCCATAGGGTTAGTCAGTCACAGATATGCACAAGTCCCGTGTGATTCTTGAGTCTCTGCTGAGCAGCCTTGCCTTTGTGCATGATTGTTAATGGGATTCTCAGTGTAGCTAAACGGGTGGATTTCATAAGGCACAACAGACAAATAAGAGTGGGGAATGATCTCTTACTATGGCAATGTGATCTTTAACAGCTATATAAAGACAACGTTTTGATTTTTCTGTCTGCTTTCACCATTAGCTGCTCCTGTACTCCAGAAACCTATGGGCCTCACTGTGCCTCGAAGTTTGATGACTGCCAGGGAGGATCCGAGACACTCTGTGGGCATGGCATCTGCATAGATGCAGACAGGGATCAGCCCAACAAGGTGAGGAACGACATCTAAGTCTTGTTATATGGCACAGCATGAATAAGCAACAAATAATGCTGAGCACCGTAAAACTGTATAGCACACACTGCTACTGAAAAACAGCAAGAAATGCCACTGTACAACATAACCTAATCTCCCTGTCATCCCAAGTACAGAATTGAAAATGCCTTGTGTCTTCTTAGAGGTGCTTGTCACAGTATCAGATCTACTGCTACATCCGTAGGGAGCTTGGGAATATTCTTTAAATAAGTCAAAGTCTTACTTGAAGCATAATATTCTTACTGTTCATTATTTTGGGGAGTTCTAGGTTGCTAGAATATTTTATTGTTTAAATGATTAAGAAGGACAAACATCATGAATCTTGTTTTCCTGGGAAAAGGCATACCTGTGGAACATTGTCAGTGGCCTGAGAGCTGCCAGGGATGCATAGCAGCTGGGTGGCTTGTTGGACTTGGTCTCTGACTCCAGGCCCAAGTTCTTCAAGCAGCTGCATTGGGCGGGCGCTAGCATACACTTGAATGGTCTTCTGGAGCAAGCCAGCTCATTCTCTTTGGGAAAGAATCTGGGTACACAGTGTTTACTCCAAAGGCACTTATGGAACATGCCACCTTTGGTTCTTTCCACTCAGAGCAGCCCTCCAAAACTACCCTGACAAGCCTGTACTCCTTAATGCTCCTGTACACCCTTGCACCATTCCAGACACACCACATATTTTTCATGCTATGCTATAAAATAATTTCGTTACTCAATTTGTAAAAGTTTTCACAAGTCATCGTTTGTTTTCTGCCCACTTTTTGTGGAGAAAGCTTTTCAAAAGGGTTCAGTGTTAACAGTGTCTGCTCCTGTGACAGTCAACAATAAAGCTCCCATTAGCTTTAATTGGACCAAAGCTAGATAAATGCTGAAATCTGGCTGTTAGTAAAGTTTACTAGGGAGAAAACTTTTCATCAAAGAAAATGTATATTTACAATTTGATGTCAGCGCTGCATATTGCACAGATTACTGCACAGTTTGCTTAAAAGAAAACAGACAAGCTGATTTCAGGTTGCTCACACTGATCTGTTTACCCTGGTTACGAAGCAAGTTGATGACTTTTAATTATGTTTATGTACAGCTCATAATTGCAGCTCATTTTCTCTGGGAGCTTTGGGGTAAATTACAGGTTTCTTTTATGAGTCTAATGAATGAGCCTGTTGTTACTTCCGTAATCTAAATCGGTAAATTCAAATGAAGAAATAGACTGAGATAACTACCAAAGCAACTTATAAAACAAAATGTGCAAACCATGTAGCACTCTGAAAGCTTTTTTGCTATAGTTTAAAAGTAATTTTATAAAATGAACTTATCCTGCCCTTTTCTTGACTGTTCTAACTGTCTGAAATATGTAATGTGATGTTTGCTGTGGCAGCCTAAGTACCGCTGTATCTGTGACCCTGGCTGGATGTCCCCTCCTGGCAGCCCTGCCTGCAGTGCTGATATAGATGAATGCAGCCTCCCTAACCGTCCGTGTTCACAGAATCCGCTTGTGCAGTGCTACAACACACCAGGCTCCTACTCGTGTGGTCCCTGCCCCACAGGTAACATGTCCTTCCATGCTCTCAGATGGGAGGGGATGGCAGTAGGTAGTACTGCCTCTATGGCATAAGCACAGACACAGGGTCCAGGTGAGAATAACTCCATGAAATGCTTTGGTCTGTATTCTAGAGAATAAATGACTGCAGGTTATGTCTTATCTAGGTAACACAGGCAGTGGAGTCTAAAGCCTGATTTATCCCATCCTAAACTGAGCATATAAATAGTCCTGATGTACCCTCATGTCCATAGGTACCTTCATATAGTAGGTCCAAGATACTTTCACATCCTTATGCTCACTGCCCTAAGGCAATATAAAAATCTAAGCCCCCAAGCCATATAACCTATGATTCCTCTTCCTAAGTTGGGTAGGTGGCATTTATAGGAGGAGTATTTGAAGTGTTTAACCAGAGTTATGATAAAGCTTTGCTGCATTTGTGCATGTATGTACTAGACCAGAACTGCCTCCTCTTTAGGTTAAAGTATGTTTGATTGTGGGATATCCAGAATACAGTTAAAATAAAATAAAATGTTCTTGCACACACATCTCCACCCTGTTGTGTTTGTAACCTGTTTTGCAGACTGGTATTAATTTTTGTCAGTTATGAGGGCGACAGGTCTTCTCTTGTGTTAGTGAAATTGTCCTGGTTTGGATAGAATCACGGGCCAGCCCTGGTAGCAGTTTGGAGTCAGCCAGAGCAGCTGACCTGAGTGAGCTACAGGTGTAGCCCATCCCATCATGTCATGGTCATTATAAAAGGGGAAGGTTTGCTAAGGAAGGAGAGTTCCTGTGGGGTTCTTCCTCTTTCCTGCTCCTATGGACTGTGTTGGCCAGACTTTCTAGGCTGAGTATAAATTTATATGCTTTATTTGTTTTGCTATTCCATTAAATCTTCCTTGCTTCAACCTTTGGGTCTACTCTGCTTTTCCCGATTCCTTTTCTCAACTGGGGAGGGGTCATTGGTTGATAGAATCACTGCTATAGTTTAGCCCCTTGTATGGGCTAAACAAAGATAGAAATGAAATTCAAAAATCATATTCTTCTGCTGTGAAAAGATCTGGTTGAAGAAGAAAATGAAAACACCAGGCCTTTTCTATTTTAAAGGTCTTTCCTGTGCTTCTTTTTAGGCTGGCAAGGAAATGGCTACAGTTGCCAAGACATTGATGAATGTGAAAATAATAATGGAGGCTGCTCAACAGCGCCAATGGTTCGATGTGTCAACACAATGGGATCATTCCACTGTGGGCTCTGTCCACCAGGTAAAATGGATTATTTTTTTGTTGGTAAAACTATGGAAAGGCTTAAAAGATGAAGATTCAACACATTTGAGCCTGTCATATGGTAGACATAAGAAGCTGAATATTGGTTTTAGATAAAGTATCACATACATAAAGCCATACTGTCATATAGAATGCAGAGTGAAGGTATATTCAAACTGCTTCAGCTATTAATGAACATTTGGTAGAGCATGTCTCTAACGATTATCCTCAGAAATGTGTTTCTTTTGCACTAGGTAGCCATTCTCAGTGTTAGATCCATGATCTGATGAAGTACTTCCTTTATAAGATCCTTTACAAGAAACAAGAATTGGGACATTATGATAGTAATTTCATTGCCTGTATTAATTGCATGAGCATCCTGTGTGCCATAAACCAGCTGTATTGTCTGTCTTAAAAGCTTTGATAATCGCCACTCTGAATGCTCTCTAAGGCGGCAGTATTTTCCATTGCAGTACAGGTCAAGCAGTGCAAGTGGTGACCTTTATAATTTGGGGTTTATGATATAAAATACTTTATGAAATGCATACTATCAGTACTAGAAATACTAGCAGGAAAAAGTGTTTCTAATTGACCTTTCAATTGCTATTGAAATGGCAACAGACTGCAGGTAGTAAAGGCTCTCAGTTACTGAGCACTGAAGGGCTATCACCATGCTGGCCACAGACACCATGCACGGCCTTAGACAAGTTCTGACGGGGTGCAGTGGACCTCAGCTTTGGCCATGCAGAGTCATGCTGCAGTGCTGTCACGGGTTGAGGCTGGGCCAGCCACTAACAAATGACAGACACTCTCTATTAACCCCTCTCCCCTCCCAAAAGGGAAAGGAAGAGAGAACAAGGGAGAGAGACTTTATGGTTTGGAAAAGAAAACTAGAACAGCTTTAATGAAACAATAACAATAAAAGAAAAGCTAAGAATAAGGAAGTAATGAAATATATACAATATGTACAGATACATACAAATAAATCCAAAACCAATATCAAACCCAGCTCCCCAGACCCTGATGATGATACGTCACTACTGACACTGCAGGGCTGGCACTGGGGCAGTCCCAGGCTGGACTCAGCAGCAGACAGGGATGGGATGTAGGAGCTGGACTCAGGCACCTGATTCAGGGATGCACAGGTCAGGATCGACGACAGAAGAACAGAGAGAGTCCTCCTCAGATGTCGGCCATCGAAGAAGAGAGAAAGACCCTCGTGATCTCTCAGCTTTATACTGAATATGACGTATAGGGGATGGAATACTCTGTTGGTCAGGTTTGGGTCATCTGTCTGGTTCGCTCCACCCTGCACATGCAACCTTTTAGGTGCTTGTGATCCTTTTCACTCCCAGCACCCCAACACGGAGTACAAGATTTAGCAGTGACCTTGGTTGCTAGAAGAACAAGTATAAGCAAGGGCCTCTCTGCATACCATTCCTTGGTATGAACTATAAATATGAGGCCTTATCACTGCTAGAAGCAGTCACTGTCTGGAAAAACGTGCTGCTGTTTCAGAAAATGCTGTTAGTTAGTGGAGACTTAACTGAAAAGTTAAAGCACTAAAAGAGAGTTAGTTCTGGTTTAGCCCAAACCAGGACAAGTGCTTTGGTCCTGCTGAGCCTCCTGAGATGAGATGGATGTTGTGTTTGAGATCCAAGGGCAGTTCTGGTGTGCAGCAGGAAGCCTGCAGGTGGTTGGGGCTGGCTGCATCTGGATGTGTAGGGAGGGCAGCACACAGTGGCTGAGAGCGCTGAGCTTCTATGGCCTCACCCATATTTGGCTAGCACTAATACTTTTTTTTTCTAAAATCATGGGAGGATTTATTTACAATCAGAATCCATCCCTGCAATGTAGGAACCACAATAAATTTGCCAGGTTTTACTTCAGCAGCTATCTCAACTTTTTAACTGCTGAAAACTGATTTTTACACCATAAATTTGTCTTTTTATCACCAGATGACTAGATTGCTATCGATTCTCAGAACATAGTTTGTTACAGTCTAACTGAGATTTACCTCTGAACAGGTTATGAGGGAGATGGACAAACATGTACTCAGGTTGATATCTGCTCAATAAATAATGGAGGGTGCCATCCTCTGGCTACTTGTACTGCAGCTCCAGGTACGATACTCTCTTAAGGACTCTCTTAAGTAAGTGATACTAGTGTTAATCTCAAGGAGTGTTTGGTTAGGCTGAATCAACTTAGTAGAAACGTATTTAGATTGCAGCCCCTTCTCCACAGTCAGTTTTGCCTCACCCAAAGGAGTTCACAGGCAGGTTAGCTAAAGCCAGCAGGCCTTTCCACAGACGCTGACAGAAATAGATTTAGGATCCACCAAAGAGCAGATTTCATAATTTTCACCATTTCTCTTTGATATGGTTTTTCCAATTTCAGCTGCTTTTACTGTTCTTCTCCTTTCCATAACCACCCTTTGACTACTCCCACCGCTTCCCACAAAGGTGACCTTGGACTCTCAGGTACCCATAGCAAAGCAACACTAAGGATCTTTCTATGGGCAAAGTGGACACTGGCCAGGGAAGGTGTCAAAAGATCAAATAGGTTAGAATTATATAAAGGCTTTGCTTCAAAACGCCAAGGACCTTTACTGTCATAGGTATTGTCATTGTAACAAGGGCTGGATGACTTTCTGTATCTTGTCTCATCTCCTAAGGGCCAATGCCGTTTTGTTCCTGCACATCGGGGTACTCTGGAAGTGGCTATGGGCCGAACGGGTGCTCTCCTCTCACTGATATCTGTCAGCTGCAAAATCCTTGTGCAAATGGGCAGTGCTTGGTAAGTGCTGGGTTCCTTGCAGTCAGTGACAATGTTATGTAGTTATACCCAGTAACAATAGGGAGACTGGTGAGGCTGAAAGCTGAGTGCAGGCATACCAGAGGTAATGAGGGAATGTCAGCAGGGAGTGGGAGATCAACAGATATACCTGAGGAACACAAAGTGTGTTCGGGGGCACACAAGCCATTTCTTTATGTTTGAAGTAGAGGCAGGAATCTTGGCACTAATAACCTGAGAGGCTGCAGCTGGTACCCCAGGCTAGCAATGGGATGCTGGTGCTGGTGGGGGAGAACTGATGAGTGACTGTCCCTGATGGGAGAGGGAAGTAATTTATCCTCCTGGATCGTGGAGGAATTGCCCATGATAACAAAACCTGTGCCTCTGCTGACCTTCAGACTGTTACTATCCAGTACAGTTAGTTATGTATGAGCAGCCAGTCAGTTAGCTACCGTGAACAACGTGGTCTGGTGGAAGGTGTCCTTGCCTATGGCAGGGGGGTTGGAACTCCCCTGGAGTCAGCAGGCTGTTTATATGGGTAAGGAAAGGGTGCTTCATGGGAGTTGGTTGTATGCCTGCTGGTAGCCAAGTGTTTTGGACCTTTACTGATTGATTGGTGTGAACTCATTCATGCACAGTGACCATTTAGTTTATCCACATGTACCATGTGAAGGCCTTTTGGCTTCCTCAGTGAGGTATGCTGTGCTCAGGAAAGTCCACACTGCAGACCTAGGGATTTTGGTAATTCTGTTGTGGAGGATATTTACAATGATGATTTTGGAGCTAAATGAATACAGATTTTGACTTCTTAGAAAGTAATTTGAAAGAGCTCTGCAAAGAAATAACTTAATAGAAAATGCAAAGAGTGAGATAATCTGCTTAGGCTTTAGGTTTATTTTGGTATTCACCAGTGACCATTAAGATCATTAAATTCCAAAGGTTTTATTTCTTTGCTTTGCTATCTCCATGTAAAATAAGTGTAAATAAGAGTCTTTCTGCTGACTACATTGATTCCTTTAGGTATCCATGCTCATTAAGTTTATTGCGTTTGCTTGTACCTGTAGGCAATGATCTCTGGATATTTCTGCCTGTGTAATGTGGGCTGGACAGGCCATAACTGTACAGAGAACATTGACGAATGCATTAGCAACCCGTGCCAGAATGGGGGGAGCTGCACTGATGAGGTCAACGGCTACTCCTGCGAGTGCACCAGTGCCTGGACAGGACCACAGTGCCAGACTGCCCAGCAAGGTGTGGTCAGGACCTCCTTCCTGGGAGAAATGTGCCACTGGGCTTCAGCAAATAGGTGCTTGGTGTATGTGATTAATATGTGAATAAGAAACAAGATATGATGGAAAAAAACAGCCCTCTTCTCGGTGGGTTACAGGTCCCAGTCCAAAGTCTCTTAAAGTCAGGATTTTTTATGAATTTTGTTTATAGCTTCTTTCTTCAGCAGCAGAAGCATAACAATTAAGTTGATCTGCAGGCCCACTGGCCTTGAATAGATGCCAGACATCCTGAAATCTGATCGCTTTTCCTGAGAAAGTGGTCTGATACGCTGAATCAGAATACAAGAGAATATATTAATGTGTGTCTTCTGCATACTATTTCATTTGTTGCGAAGCTGAGAGGTCCTGGCGTTTTTAGTCAAGATGAAAAGCCAGAAAAGGTTTTCAAACAGAAATTTAATGAGAGAAATGTTATCCATGATAATGGGGGACTCTCTTTTTATAGAGTGACTGCAAGGTCCTGCCTTTAACATTTCTTCTTAATAACAGTTTTTCTGTTTATTTGGGATTTTTTTTTGCCATTAATTTTAATTAAAGAAGATCAGGATAGCATTCCAGTGAGCGTCCCTGTGGCAACCATCTGTCAGATGGCTCATTTATTGCAGGTTGCTGTGAAGAAAGCAGATTAACTTTTCATGGAATACAGAATGTAAAACTTTCACTGAGCCCCCGTGAAATCTGCTCTATTTTAGAGCTACTTCTTTTCAGCTACTTCACCTATTTTCCTTAAATATCTAAACAGTAATGTTTTATCAAGCACATGTGGAAAAATATTTATTTTTAACCATTCATAATAGAAGGGAGAGAAAACCTGGTTTTATTCAGTACGAAATAATACATCAACTTTTGGTTTAGCTCCTAATCAAGGGAAAAATAATACATTTTATGACATGGTAATTCTGAATCTGGTTGAGAAATGGTGAAATGTTTTAGATGGACACATCAAACAAAATTATTTTTTCTACCACTCCTTGAAATAAAATACTTGGTTTCAGAATTGAGTATTTCTTTAGCATCAGTTCAATGTTAAACTACAGCTGCTTGTTGTACACTGTAGCTATATGTGCACTGTATTTTGGGTGCTTTATGGACATATTTTTCTATAGCTGTTTCCAGTTCACGGCTCCCATTCATTGAATGACTTGGTGAAAGAAGAGACCACGTTATATCATGAAAGGTATTATCAGGCCCAGAAATCTGACCAAAAAGAATAAATGGGACAATAAAACATCTGAAGGATAACTTCTGTGATGCACCACTACTGAGACAATTTCATATCTTCTTAGCTTCAAAATGTTATTTCGTTGTAGGTGAAAAATTTAAAGATTTAATCTGGAGGTAGTCTTCCGGAAACAAACTGGTTTATGGATGTTTTCCTGAGACAGAATCAACATCTTTTGGCAGTATCCACATATTCCAGCTGAAAATCCTTGTTCTTATTCAAGGAACTACTTTTCTCTCAGGGAGCAATTTTGCTCATTTTTTGTGATGTCATTCCATTTTAGAGGAAATCCTGAAGAATCTTTTATAGAAATATCTTTCATCCATGTTTTAAATGTTTAGGAAGCCAAACACATGCAAACCAGTTAGGTTTTGTTTAAGTCTGTATAGTGACAGCACAAATTAATCCATTTAACTTTCTCTTTCTTTCTGCAGTTTGTGGAGGATATCTCTCAGGGTCCAATGGGACTTTCAGTTACCCGAACAACCCAAACAGCCAGCAGTACAACAATGGGGTCAGCTGCGCTTGGGTTATTCAAACTAATCCCAACAAGGTAAAATAGAGTTCGGTTTAAAGAAACCCTCACTCTGCAGGACCCCTCAGCTCATCAAATCAAATGTGACCATCTTCATGCCACATATTCCAATATTGTGATCCAGAATAAATAGTGTTTCAAAAAGAATAAGTTTCAGATCCTTACAAGCCTTCAGGCTCCTTAGCCTAAGAATTTACCTGGATTTGCAAGGTTTTTCCTATGCAGCTGAGAGTTAGAATTTATTCCCCTACCACCAGCTAGAGAAGGTGCCTGTTTTATATTGCTTTAGCATGTGGTTTGTGAATAGCTGCATGAGAAGCTCTGCTCTGATAAGTGTCGTGGTTGGTTCATGAGCTAGGTGACCCCAGAACAGCTTCATGTTTGTGATTTCTGAGCTCTAGAAATGTGGAATGCTGAATTCGTATTGTCAACAGCTTTGTGTAATAACAGCATTTGAATTTTTTAAGGATTAATTTTTAAATGTTGCACTCAAATGTATATTCTGATCTGTAACTATTTTTCTTGTGTTGTCTATAAACTACAAAATATGTTACTTCACACTTGAAGTATGAAGCATGGGACTTCTTACTTGGGATCTAAATATTTGATCTATTTTTGACATTTCATGGAGTGAATGACATAGTTTTATAAACCAGTGTTACTAGTGGTTTTTACGGCATTGTGTATATATATATATACATGTATGTGACAACCTCAGCTTTAGGCCTGAGAGCCACTACTGTCTTCAGCAAAGCTATATTAAAGCAGATCAGTGAGGAATTTGAACATAAAGCTGTGTATGTCACTACGTAGAGTGGTCTTAGGAGATATCGACTTTATATGTGCAAAAAGATCACTTTTTCTAACTCCCATGACAATACTTTCAACCATAGCAAGGATCAGAAATATGGTTTATCTGATGAGAACTGCCATGGGAAACCTGGAATAAAGTATTTTATGCTGTATTTTAAGCCTTTCACATGACTTGAAATATATAGGTGCATGTATTTCACATATATAACAGATGCAAGCAAATGGTCTCATTTATTGTCTGGAAAAAAGCATTTCTATAAGCTAACTTCCCTGTCCGAATTCTTTCCTATCTTCTCTCTTTTCCTTTGACCCTTAAGATTCTGTAGTATCTTCTTCTGTCCTGGAACTTTTCAGGAAATGGCATAATGGCTCTAAAGCTTGTGGATTGTTACATTTGCATGAACAAATACATCTGCTCTATGCAGAGTTACTGCATAAACATTGTCTCAGCAGATGGAAAAAAAAGATTTCTTATTTTGCCACCTCCTGTTAGATCCTGCGTATTGTTTTCCCATTCTTCCAACTGGAGTCGAGTAACGACTGTAACTCTGACTTTCTTCAAATCCATGATGGGCCTTCAGCTTCAATGCATATGCTGGGAAAATACTGTGGCTCCTCACCTCCTGCAGAGCTTTTCAGTTCCCACAACTCCCTGTATTTTTGGTTCTTCTCAAACCACATCATTACGGCTGGAGGTTTTGCTGTTCGGTGGGAATCTCGGGATCCTGGTAAGTTTGAAACATCATGTAATTTAGCATCTTCGTGGCTTCAGAGAAAAATAAATGACATTTCCTTGGATTAGGAAACATTAGGAGCTGTAGGACAGCATTTTACTAGGGAGTGAGGCTGAAATGTGTTCTATATGTAATTTAAAAGTGTTTAAACTCCAACTCTAGACCTCTGCATGAATAACTGTTTTTGAAGGCTGCTTTATATGTCCTGTGAGGAGTCCCTCAAAAAGCACGTGTTCCTGGGGATGCTGTTCTGGTTAGTTATCTTTTTCTCACCAAACTATCCAGTACTTTGAGCAGGAAAGTTACCCTTTTTTGCCACTGACAATTTACAAGAGGCTCAAGAGGTTGAACCATGCTTTCCAAAAAAGATAGATTGTTGGGAATTTGATTTTAAATTATCTGTGAGAACTTTGGTATGATTTGCTGTATGTTTCTGCCTGAATTCTTGGTAATGCTACTTGTGGGATTCTTCCAGGATGCCTGGTAGTGCATTTCTAGAGATAAACCCCAAATTGTCTTGTGCAACATCAAGCTTACTTCAGTGTTGTGTGTATTGCCTAGAAGCAAATTCTGCATTGGATTGTGTCTTGAAAGATCCATAGAATATAAAAAGTCTAGAAAATTCAGGGGGAAAATGATTCCTTTATACCTAGAAATATTTATTGAAATGCTTTTAATGAGATTTTTGGTGTGGTGGTTTGTTTTTTTCTTTCAATAGACATTATTAGATAGATAATTACTAATTGATGAATCTGGATACTGAAAAGTGAAAACAGATTTTTTTTTGGGGGTGGGGGAAGGGTAAACAGGGACAGAGGTGTAGATGTGACTAAACTAGCTATTCCTTAGATATAATACAGAAGTTAACCCTACCACTCCCAATGCCAAGAAGGATGGGGTTTTTTATTACAGTTATATAAAGCAGCCTTCCCTGTAATTAACGTGTTTTTTAAAATTGTCTTGTGCATGGAGACTATTTACAAAGTCCAGAAACTCAGATTAAGTTTGTTAATCCAATCTAAACCAGTGCTCATTCTCCTAAAGATAGTTCCATCATAACTGGGAAAGAATCTTTTTTTTTACTTTGCAAATCAGGAAATATTTGGAGTTCTGCTTTTATAATTGAATACAAAATTACTTGTAAAATTCAAACAAAGTTACTTGTTGGTCTGTTTGGCTTGCTCTTTGTTTTTTAATTTATTCTGGATCCTGAAGTGGTACCTAGTTTTGACGCTACAGGAGAATTAGTCTTCTGACCTGACATGTAGTGCTAAAGACTGTTCTTCCATGTTCATTTTCTGTTAGAATGTGGTGGTGAGCTGATGGGTACTTACGGCTCGATAAGCTCTCCAGGATACCCTGGTAACTATCCTGTAAACAGAGACTGTTTCTGGACCATCTCAACCAGTCCTGGCCGCCTCATCACATTTGCTTTTGGCACACTAAGCCTAGAACACCATGAAAATTGCAGTTATGACCATTTAGAGGTAAAGCTTAATTGTGAAATATGACAACATTTTATGATTGTTATTGCAAAACAAGATAGTTCAAAACTTTTTAGTACATGCTGAGGGAGACTGTTTGAAAATTAAATCCTAGTTTGAAAAGCTCACTTGTGCTTTCTTATTCCAGCCGTCAGTGCACACTCAAGTACTGGCAGCATAATAGAGGATGATATCCCATTCCACTGAAGTCAGTGGAAGTCTTGTGAATAAAGAGGATGGGATTCAGGCCAAATACCTGGTGGGAAGCTTTCACTTTCTTGCAAAGTTCAGTCTTCAAAATCCTTGTTGAATGTCAACTCACAGAGAATTGATCAGCCTAAGGAAAACTATTAGGGAAAGGGATCTAAGATTAATATATTCATATTATAGTACAGGCCATAACTTGTGAGCTTAGGGTTTTTCTGAAGTGGAAAATAATGCTTACAGAATTTGCCAATACCCAGTCATGGAAATGAGAAGATATTCTTCAAAACTGTGTGATGCAGAACACTATTTCAGGAAAATGGTTCAACAGGAGGTCTCCTGATGCTTTCTTTCCCTTTCACAAAACCCTTGATGACTCTCCTAGGAGTACCATCACAGCTATGCTGGTGGGTCTGTTTCTTGGTTTCTGTGTGTTTGGAGGAAGCTTCCTATGAGCTTTTCCTCCACCTACCATCTACAACATCTCCTCAGACCCACAAAATAGCTTTAAGAGTGGTGGTACTGTTCACAGCTGACACATCTAATAATCCTGATCAATCATTCTGTCTAGATTCGAGATGGTGGTCTTCCACAAGACCCTGTCCTTGGTAAATACTGTAGCACTGGATCTCCACCCCCACTCCAAACCACTGGTCCGTATGCATGGATTCACTTTCACTCTGATGATTTAGTTACTGATAAAGGCTTCCACATCATCTATACAACGTCTCCTGGTAAGCAAAATTCATCATTAAAGGTTACATTCCCAAGTTATAATAAACAGCATAAGAATGGATGTAATTAACACTTGCTATTTATTAGTACAGAAAGCCTCTTTGCTTTGCAGTCATTGAACAGAGGCAGCCTAAACTGAAAGAGTTATGACATTTGTGAGTATGTCAGCTAATATGTTTTTTCTTAATATAGCAGATCCAAGTTGTGGAGGAAACTACATGGATAGTGAAGGGGTTATCACATCCCCTTTTTGGCCTAACCCTTATATCAGCAATCGACAATGTATCTACATTATCAGACAGCCAGAGGATGAAAAAATATACCTCAACTTCACCCACATGGAGCTGGAGAGTCACGCTGGTTGCTCATCAAATTATATTGAGGTGACTTCTTTTAAGCAGTTGATATGAAAGGTTGATTACATACGTGTACGAAATCATGCCATGTAATTTCTGTCCCAAGGGCCACTGCAGAAACAGGTGTTAATCAAAGGACTAAGTATACCAATATACTATGGTCCAAAAGTCACAGGGGCTAAAAGAGCAGAACTGTGTGTTTGGAATGAAGCAAAGATAAGATAACAAGAAAATCTGTCTAGCTTAACACTAATTCTTAATTGGCTGTACATGATTAAGCTGGAGTTTGGACCTTTGGTAAATGCATACTAAATGTAAGAAAAATAAGAATAATGCTACAGCCATTCTGCAGCATTTTCTGGAGTCATGGTATTATACTGAAAATCTTGTTCTGGGACAAAAGGAAGCACACCATAAATACATTTATATATGTACATATATGCATATGTAAAGCCAGGAGTTTATTGTTAGTATAATTGAAATCTCAAATCTGTTTCAAGAATTGTTATTGTCTAAATCTAACCATAGAAAAAATAGTAGTATGTTTAGAATGCTTCTATATGGAAAATGTAATAATACTACTACAATATAATGTTGATGCCATCTAGGATCCACTTGAGGTTATTTTTATGTTTACTAAAGTGCTTTTACACCCAGCTCCTTCATTGGTCTGAAGCTTCCTGCTACATCCAAATTTACTATGTGGTGCCTTTTAAGTATGCTGTGTACCATTTCTTTATTTGCTTTGTTATCCCTGAACCCAGCTTTGTCCAGCTCCAGGTCTGCATGCTTTAACTGGCCACAGTTGAGGTTTGGCATGGTGCTGTGGAGGCCACGGGGGCTCCCTGGAGAGGCAGAGCAGGGCTTCGCAGTCGGGGCAGTCCCACTGCCAGGGAGCATGGCAGCCCCGGAAGCAGGCACCTCCCTGGGGATGGGGGTGGGCCAAGGTCGGGCTGGATGTGGGCCTGGCTCAGCAGAGCCAGTGGCCCAGCAGGGCTGTGGGGAGCTGGAGACTAGCCCTGCTGGGGCAGGGACTGATGGCCCTGGGGGGCTCACACAGGGTCCTGGGCCATGGGCAGGGTGTGGGGGCCCCTGAGGAGGCTGGGCTGGGCCAGTGAGTCCTGGTGGTGCCTTCAGGGCCTGACAAGCTCTTTATGTCAGTGGCCTGTGGCCCTTCTACTTTCACCCCGTCTCTGTGCTCCTCTTTGCTGTGCCCCAGCTCACCACATCTCAAAGTGTCTGCTGTCGTACCCTGCCTGTATTTCTCCATACAGTCATAAATATCTCCTACGTGGAATGGCTGCTGGGTACTGCTGTCTTTATAAAAGTGTACTTGTACCACGCAGAGGTGAACAGAAGTAAAACAAACAGGGCACAGATGCCCAGTTGATTAGCGAAGGTGCTGCCACAGCTGAAGCAGGTAGGAGTAAGCCCAGTGGCCCCAGCATGGAGCTGGGTCCTGTGCTGCCAGCTACGCAGTTACGTGGCAATGGGGTTTGGCTTTGTGCTTAATCTCTTCTTGACCAAGCGAGGAACGGGCCTCTGTGAGCTCCGTGTAGTTAATCTGTTTTTAAAAGATGTTATTGTGCTGACATCGTTCCCTTCCCTCCTCCTCTAATTCAGAGACTTTGGTTGGAATGAAGTGTAATTAATTTCTGAAATGAGAGGGGAAGTGTGTTAAATGAAAACAGACAGCTTTTGTTTGTTTGGCCTGGTACTCCTCTTGCCTAATTGCTGGCAGAACAGCAGCTAAATTCACAGCAGTCAGAGAAACAAAACCATTTCTGTTGAACACAATCAGTTTGTATTAGTTCAGCAAGGCATTTACCTTGCTGTTTGCTGATCAGTCACAAGCCATTCAGTTGCCCTGTGTTTCTGTCCTCTTCTTCCTGCCCTTTCACTCGGTGGCTCAGCCCAGAGAGGAGAAACAGGACTGACATTTTCTGACCGGGACAGTTGGTATGACTAAAGAACTGTGCTCTTTTATCAAGACCTGATTTTCCACATATGCTTTTCTAAAGTACTGTCTCTGGGTTTTATAATGACCTTCAGCTAGGGAGATAGCTTTTGGGTGTTTAAGTTACTTTAAAAGTCACTCTGACAATTGTTTTGTCACTTTGAAAAGCCGCAGGTTATAATTACCCATCCCTGGTGACACAAGGAAACCTGCAGATTTTCTACAGGGGCCAGACACAGCTCACAGGCACTTGCTTGGGGAGGGATGTTTAGTCTCTTACTGAGGAAGGAACAGCTTGTGGACAGGGATCTGCAATATAAAACTAGAGACAATAAAATTTCTTATTTAAGAAAGACTGTGACATGGTGCTGCAGTGGTAAGGTGTTAGCCAAGGCAGCATCCTTCTAACTGGCTATAGGAGACATTACTCGCATGGTTTAGAGAACCTGTTATTTTTATCACTACTCACTGGGCTTCATAAACCAAAAATGTAAGGAGAATCAGCCCATGAAAAAAATGTGAACTATACTTCTGGAAACTTTCACTGCTGTCCACAGATTTTTCTAAATATTCCTGCACAAATTCTGATCTCAGTAGCTCTGCTGTAAATCCAGAATAATTCTGTCACCTTAAACTCAAGTCCCAGGGAAATAAAAAAATATCTGTTAGAAAGCCATCTCACCAGCTGGAGATTGCCAAAACTGGGCAAGCAGGCCAGCCACTGCCTGCTCACCAGGACACTAATGATGGTTCCCTGCATTCTCTCCCAGTCCATGGAGGAATACAGCTGAGGAAGAAAGAAGAAGTGATGAGAAGGGACCTGAAAGCTGGATGTCCCTGGCTTTGCTGTTGATTTCACTGGAATGATTTTTTTGGGGTTGACAGTATATAGGTACATTTAAAAGCAGCTCCAGTTACATGAGCTACCACTGCTTTTTCAGCAGAAAAGAGCTGGGTTTTTTTCGGGGAATCTTTGGGAGAAAAATGACATTTTTTTGCCTGGGCAAATAGCAGAGGACCTGGTTTTTTTGTACCCTCTTGGAATGAGATGGGCACCTCAGAAGGTGTTCAGAACTCATTTGCTATATCAGTACTCTGCCTGGTCCCCTGCATGCACCTATTCTTACTGACAGACTATGGGCTCAGGGCCTGAAGTTCAGAGGGAGAATCATAGAATCATTAGGTTGGAAAAGACCTCTAAGATCACCAAGTCCGATCATCAACCCAACACCACATGCACACTAAACCATGTCCTGAAGTGCCAAGTTTTTTAAACACCTTCAGGGATGGTGACTCCACCAGTTCCCTGGGCAGCCTGTTACAAAGTTTGACAACTCTTTCAGCAAAGAAATTTTGCTTAATGTCCAATCTAAACTTCCCCTTGTGCAACTTAAGGCCATTTCCTCTCCTATCAACAAATACCTCTTTCCATTCTAGTCCACTTGATAATCAAGATTTATAATCAGCTTCTGGAAAAACACTTAAAATACATTTCTTCTTTGAGGTCAATAGAGTGGCAGTGCAGAAGGTAAAAGCTGGAAGTGATTCCTTCCTACGGCTTTGTCATTATCATGCATTGGAACCTTCAAACAAAGTAATGGAAAGATATCAGTACACCTCTCTACTGCTATAGGGACTCAGAATTGCATCTCCTGTTAGTGAGCTGTCTGGCTGCATTCATGTATGGGTGTGATGGGACATTGCTTTTTCTGCAGAGTGCCGTTGAAAAATCACTGGAAGCTTCATGGCCAGAGCAAGAAAATCACAAATACCCCCCCTTTTTTTTTTTCCCCAGCAGATTTTAGTGCTGGGAAAAATTTCGTAGCTGTTGCTGGTGAGCACCATACCTGTCTCTCATACTGAAGGTGTCATTTTTGGAAGCATAGGCCCAAATTGTACTAAACCTGTGGTTCATAGAAAAGAGCTGTTTCATCCTAATGTCCTGTGACAGTAGCATGTGTATGTGTGTTCTGTGCTGACCATCCGATCCTTCCTCTGAGCTCTTGTAAATCATGTGCTTGTGCCAACTACTCTTATGGCTTTTTGCCCCTCTTATAAGTAAAATAGTTACTCCTTTTGTTATTTAGCAGCTCTTGTGAGATTATAATTTTATCTGGATATTGGATCCCAACACTTTTATGTTCTGATGTTTTTCTCTTTAATGACTAGGTTCGTGATGGTGACAGTGAGATGTGCTCCCTCATTAGAAAATTCTGTCATAGTACACTCATGTCTCCAATCACTTCCACCAGCAGCAGTCTCTGGATCAAGTTCAAATCTGATGCTTCTGCACAAAGGGCTAGCTTCAGGGCCATTTATCAAGTTGGTAAGAGGAACTGGTGGCTTGCACAGTGAACCAATCTGTAATTTGGACACTTTCAGTCATTTCCATGCTGTATTATCCATATAATGGGTTTAAGACAAACTTCAAAAGAAAGGAAAGAAAAAAAATAGAGTCAATTTATCTATTTATTGCTACTTTTAGAAATGGTATAATGATGTCTGCAGTTGGACTGTTGTAGGCAGTCCTAGCATGCTTAGAAATGCACCCCTCATTGCTTCTACTAATGATAAATCACTAACAGCTAACATTCCAAAGATGATAGAGCTATAATTCTGCCTAAATCTTTTTACTTTCATTTTTTCTGTCTTTTAGTTCTTAATTACCAACAAATCTATCTTTGTCTATGAAACAAATCAGTCAAATCCATTAGGTTTTATGGGCACAGTTAGATTGGTCTTCTGTATGTACATGTTTATGCTATACCTAGCAATATGTTCTTTTAAATCCGTTCTTAATACTGCTTGGATGATCTGTAGCAGATGCTGTAAGAAAATAGATTTTTAGGGGTAACTGTTTTTCTAAGTCCATAGTGATATTTGTTAGACATGACATTATACGGTCCTTGAAACCATTCATCACAGGTACTGATGATTCTTAATGTCTCTTGGCAGCCTGTGGAGGCCCCTTGTCTGGAGCAGGCACTATCCATTCACCTTACTATCCCAGTATGTCCCCTCACCCAAAGACCTGCGAGTGGATCATTTCCCAACCAGCTAGCAAAGTGGTGATTCTTAATTTTATCAGCTTTGACATCCGAAATGCAACCACTTGTGACTCCGACTACGTTGAGGTAAAGAATAATATGCTTATACTATGAATAGTAGGCAGATTCTTATCTGTATGTTCCTTCTCATACTCATCTCCACCAAAGCAGAACTTTGACAGGTAAGCACTTCTTACAGAAGTGTTAAAAGCTTTTCCAGGTTCATAATAGGATCCCAAACTTTTTCTTGTTTCTTCAAAGATGATATGACCATTTTGACAATCAGAGACGAGTATCAGGTGTCTTTAAATAGACAGACCTGTTTTTGGAGGTTTATGTGCCACTTACTGTTGAGGGTGTAAGACCTCAGCTTTCCTCAGTGTGACATGCTTTGGGTGGGAGAGTGCTTCTCTGGCAGTCATAAGGTTGTGCTGTATGTGCCTGTAGTAGAAACCATGCTGAAGAAAGGATAGGGTTTGACTTACTCTTTTTTATATGGTTCTTATAAATTCATTTATGCTTTAAAACTGTAATATAGTAGAATTTTGTATGGGATACTTTCAAAACACTGTTCTTCAGGTCAGAGATGGTAACAACACAGACTCTCCTCTTTTGGGGAAATACTGTGGTACAGCTGTACCATCTAGAGTGCAATCTACACGGAACAATCTCTATATCAAATTCAGAGCTGCTTCTCTTACCAACCTTGGCTTCAGAGCTGAGTACTGGCCATCAGATACAGGTAAGGATTTTTTTGTTGTTTTCTGAGAGTGCTGGGACTTTCCCAATTTTCCTATATGCTGCAGACAGTTGGCCATCATGTTGTATGGTGGCATAATGGGACTTTAATTTTGAATCAGTTACTGTGTAGTATACATCAAGGAAAAAAAGACTGACATTTCAGAAAGAAAAGTAAGCAATTTTTTAAGTGCCTAACTTTTTTATAAACATATAATTTAATCTGAAGTTTTAAATCTCTGTAGTATGTGGAGAGACTCTCACTGGACCAGAAGGAACCATCACAAGTCCTAGCAATCCAGATGTCTACCCACATGGTATTAACTGTACCTGGATTATCAATGTTCAACCCGGCTACCTTATCCGTCTGACATTCACTTCATTTAACTTGGCATTCGATTATAGTTGCAGAAAGGATTATCTAGAAATATATGACAATAGCACTGTGCAAACACTGGGAAGGTGAGTATGTCCATTAGCGCACAGACCTGAATTGCTGTAGAATAAGCACTACTGTAGGCCTCAACATCCAATTTGCTTTCTTAAATGTTGTATCTAGGTTAATTTCTCTGCATTACAGCAACAATAACAGCAATTTCTCTGTCTAGGATAGTAAAGACAGTTTGATTTCTTTGACTATGGAATAAGAAGCACATTTAATAAGTTTTATACTGGGAGAAAGTAACATGTGTCAAAAGCTCAGCTTTTTTTAAGAACAGGTTTCAATAGCTGGAGTCCAGCTCCATTGACACTTTCAGGGCAAGTAAGTTCAAAAGCATTAATATATCTGTTCCCAGGAAAAGGCATGATTTGAAACATTTGCAGAAGGGAAAGAAAGATTACTTAAAAGATTGTGCATTTGGATCTCATCAAAACCTAAAGAAAATCTGCATTTTATAGGATTTTTTTTTTCGCTTTCTCCTGATACGTGATCTTAGGGAAGAATCTTTTCTTTTTTCCCCTTCTCCAACCAAGGTATACATAGGTTTTTATTGCCACCCTAGAATCCAAAACCATTTCAGTTACTTGGGAACAGTATCCAGCTGCAGCTACAGACTGTAAAGTAGTTGGCTGACATGGCAGTATTTTGGAAAATAAGGAGCAAATGGTGCTCATAATGGAGTGCATTTTGCAACCTTAGCCTTTGGCCAGCCACTCTGGCTCCTGCAGAAGAACAGAATATGTTGTAGGTACAGCACAGAATAATTTCAATAAGAATGTGACAACTTAACCGTTTCTTCTCTGACTTTGCCACCCAAGTTAGATTTGTATCCTTGTACATGTTGGGTGCTAGTCAGTCTCATGATACAGTGCATATGGCTGGGATCTGTATCATCCAAAGGAGAAATTTGTGTTTGTGTAGCTGTTCAAACTTCTCAGGAAAGCTGAATGCTCTTCCAGTAGTACAGACACTTCATAAAGTATTGCCATTCAATTTCGGGCATCTTTTTGCTGCAGGTACTGTGGAAGATCAGTTCCACCATCTTTCACTAGTGGTGGCAACATGATGATGTTGCACTTTGTGACCGATCACAGCATTGCATCTCAGAGCTTCTCAGCTAATTATACCTCCCTGAATGCATCAAAAGGTAATATGTCTGTTCATCCTGCAAATTAAATGTTTTCAGCTGTCACTGTAAATAACCACTACGAGAAACAGAACCATTATTTTCTCTGTTAGCAGAAAACTGCCTGGTGTCTCTTTTACCCCTTCTTATGTATCCTGCTTTATTCACAAGACTTTTCTTCCCTGGGAAAGCAGAAAGTAATTCCTGTAAGCAGCACTTCTGTTTTCTTTAAAAAGCTAGTAAGAGCTGCCATGGCAGAGCTGCGAGGATTATTTAGAAGTATTTTCTGAATTTGCTTTGCCCATTCTGAACTGAGTACATGTGATCTAGGAAGCTTAGATGTTATGGACAACTCAATTGAATGGGAGACTCTTAGGTGCCATAAAGATCAATTTAGTCCCTGTTAATACCATATTGATGATGGGCAGAGGAAGGTCATATAGGATGATATTTGATAAAGCAGCAAAATAACCTGAAAGCATAAGCTCTTTTTTTTTTTTTTCATTATGACAGAGTACAACGTTTCTGTCTCTGGAAGAGTTCGAGGTTCCTGTTATGCCTTAAATCTGTTCTTTAAGTATCTCCTTTTAAGGGGCCAAGACATCTATCAGTGGGGTAAAGACTACTGAAGAGAAGAATGACCGTTCATTCCTTTAGTTCTCTAAAGCAGAGAAAAAATGAGAAATTACTCTGGATTCTAATTGATTTGAAGGTTTTCTAGGGTGGGGGCTATCTGTGTTTTCAAACTATACTGAACCACTATGCCTGATCCAGTGTTTGCATCTCTGTCCACACTGAAAGCATTTTAGCAGCAACTGAGCTGCACTTGGAAAAGCAGCCTCTTGATGAAAGGCTGTTAACTACCAGCTTCATAGATCCAATAGACATGGGTCTGCTATTGCTCCCCTTGCTGCTAAACACTGGTCTGTAGCAGAAGAGGATTTATGTGGGTAGCGGGACAGGTTCTGCCTAGCAGAATTAAACCACAGAAGAGGCAGAGTGGGGCAATTAAAAAGATAAAAAAGAGAATACATTTGTATCTGGGTTATTTCTGTATCCATCACTAACCGGTTTCTGGGTGGTTTGTGTGTGTGAGCACAAGCTACAAAGGATTTATTAGATGAATACCAGAAATCCATATTACTCATCTATGCAGCCATAAACTACCACTGGCTGCTTATTTTTTGCTCTTAGTTTCTTTAATGATTTTATTTTTCCTACTTTCTGAGTTTCTCCAACCTGTTCAAAATCAGCAAAACTTCCAGTTTCTACCTTGTGAAAAATATCTGCTTTCTTGGTGACAGCTTGGAAAATTTGGCTATTATTTCATCTCTCAAGCATGTGTGTAGGCGACACTGATTTTGCAGATTTTGTCACTGTGTTTTTATTCACTGCCAGATAACTTACAAACCCAAATAATCTGTTTTTTCAGTTGGTTTCACTCATACATGAGTTATCTGGAATGGAAACCAAAAGCCAGTAAAAACAATTAAGATTTAATGAGAACTATTCTGAGGAGGAAATTTCAATTTGTTAGAAAATAATAGGCCAAAAACCAAGTTCTAATTTTAAAAATCTTTCCAAGACTCTAGTTTGAAAACTGAGTTCTTACTAGTGAGAAGTAGTGAAATTATCAGCCTTGTAAAGAAAGTATTTTATAAGCCTGTTTTTGCAGCTGCAAACTAACTTCTGTAAATATGATTGATGTTTGTTAATGTGATATTTTTTCTTTTACTTTACCTCTAATTAATATTTCATGGGTGTATTTGATTCTTTCCTAACTGTTCTTATAGCAGCTCCTCTCACAGTTCATCAAGATCAAAATACTCTTTACTTAACATTAATCTATATTTCTGTCTCTGCATAACCCTACCTGTTTCTCTGTTTTTATCATCTCAGTGCTGTCCAACTTCGTTGCTCTGCCTCCTCTCTTCCACATCCCCCTCCTTTATCACCACGATGGTGACTGGATTTTCTCATCTTTCATCCAAAGCACTGCTTTATGTGTCATGTGAGGCCCAAACTGCATCAACACTATCCCTGGAATAGTTTCAAACGACGACATAAAAATGCAAGCCTGTTTTCTCTTCAATGCTATTAACAACTAGAAACTATATAAAATGTTTATATGAAATTAGAAGTATATAATCACTCAAACTCTGAACAACAGGTATGATTTTCTTTTCCCATAATTAACACAGATATCTTTACTACTCTTCAGCTAAACTGAGCTGACTCTCAATTTATTCTCACTTAGACCTAGAACTTTGATCTCTAGAATAAATTCCTTTTCATTTCAACCACTCTAGTTTGTCTAAGTATGGCAAAGTACTAGATAACTACTGAAACTAAGAGTAATAAACTTATAGAGAAGTTGAAACTACGACCTGTTTTCTTTACAGAGATTTGTTTCTTTTGGTCCCAGCACAAGCATAGCAGTACTATAAAGTTGCCATAAATATTGGACTGCTAACATTCATTTTTTATTAAGAATAAAGTGTTTTGAAGCTTCTATGATCTGAAAGAAGGCAAACACATATGCGTATGTGGCCTTTGCTATGAGAAGCAACCCCCCACTTCCCTGAAATCATAACAAGTTTAGTTTTCCCACTGTGAGATGTTTATTCATCTTATGTATATCCAGTTACACTAAGGTAGCAAATTGCTGAACATGATCATATCCAAAAGATTTACCAAAGCTATGGTTATTTTTTCTTTACATCTGATGCCTGTTTTCATTCTTCTGCTAAGGAAAATGTGGTTCTAATAATGTTTCTTGTGCAGTAAGAATCTTCCATATTTTTAAGCTATGTTTTCTTAGCCAGCTAGAGTGTAACCAATATCAGAACTGGTAAAAGATGTTCTGGTTCATATTAGACATTTCATTAGGTTTTTGCCTGAAGTTATTTTGCAGAGATTGAGCTATTGAAAAGATGGGCAAGGTTACCCCAATAAAAAGAATAAATAGGAGGTAAAAAAAAGGATAAATAGGAGTGAAAAAACCATTTTTATATAAACCCCAAATTTTCTTCTCCATGCGTCTCAGCAAACAACTTTTTTGTTAGCATGGTTTTTCTGTGATATGTTAATTAGTTGAAAAGTAGCCTGAAAATAATGGCAAAGCTATATTTCATGTCAAAAAAATGTGAATGCCATGAGATACAGCCATGGTCCATAAAGTGCAAACAATTGTTCTAGCAGACCACTGGCTAGTAGCTGTGCATAGCTCATGGCAGGCAGTAATACAAATGGAAATCCTTCAGTCAAATGTCTCTACGTGATACTCAGTTGTTTAAAATGTATATTGCCCGATTAAACTTGGACGATTAGTTCTTGGCTGTCTTTCTGCCTTTTAAAGGGGAAAGGCACATGGAGAGCAAGGTAACATTTGGATTTATTTTCTAGAGTCCAAGTCTCAAATATCAGATATATCGTTGCTGTGACATTCATCTAAGTGTTATGATAGATTTTAGGGTATTCTTTTGCCCATCTTGGCTGACGATACCACAAACAACTCATGTAAAACTATTGAAAAATCTTCAAAAGGGCGCAGTCTTTCCTGGGAGTGTTGCTCAGGGTCTTGAAAGATCCAGGCTGCAATTTTCCAGTAGGAATAGCACTACAGTCAGTGTATGTATTTTATTGTTCACAACTTCTTCACAAGTAAGTGAGAATTTATTTAGTTTACCTTAAATTAGGGTTTATTTTTTTGTGGTGGGGGGGTGGTGGTGTGTTTCCTTTTTTGCTGTTCCTTTGTTTTGTTAAAAAGGCTTCATTTCATCCTTTCTGCTGAGAAAAGTCGTCTTTAATGAGATTTTAGCAGATTGCCTTCCTGATAGAGTTTTCATTCCTGATCTTTCTCTGGTCTTTGGGGAAAGAGAATATTTTTCCTCCTTATCATCCTGAATTGTGAATGATGATATTTATCAAGAGGGGTAATTTGTTTTAAATAGCTTTATTGTGTGGTCTATGTTAGCTGACAACAACTGACTAGAGAAGTCAGAGTTTGAGAAGGATGAGGAAAGAAAGAACATTTGTGAACCCATGGACTTAAAAGTGCACCTGAAAGCAATGTGTCAATTTGTGTGTCATCTTTATTGATAGCTGAGTATAGGTTCATCTCTCAGTTCCCATTTTGCTGAGTGAACCCAGTAATTATTAGGAGGATGTTGACTGGCTTTTCTCTTCAGCTGAATGAGCAAAGACAAGAATGAAAAGTAATGTCTGATAAATATGTGTGTGCAGAGATACAGCGTGTGGTTGAACGAGGCTGAGCTAAAACAGACAAAAAAGCTGAAGTCCTGCATGCATCTTGGGCTCATCTCAGTCTCAGGAAAAAGTTTCAATGAGCTGGCAACTGACAACCTGTTAGGTCACTACCTTGGTTGTATTTGGTCAGGATATTAGTCTGACTATATATGCCTTTGTAAGTGTACGTGACTCTATTGTATGTGCGTTTATATGTAAGTCAGCAGCAGAGAGTCGGAGATTCTTTTTGAACAGCTCTACCCTGTGTTTCTAGGGAGTTTGAGTCTGAAATGCTACAAAGGACATTTGTGTGCCTTCTTGTTAAAAAATTAAGCCTGTTAGCATCTGCCAGCAGCAGTAACAGAAGGCCCTGAAGTGCAGATGTGCTTTTTCCATTGCCTGTGGAAAGGCATATAATTCATGTGATAATTTCTTCCCTTTTTTATCTAAATATGCATAGCATTACATGAAGATCTAATTGTTAGGGATCCCAGTTTTCCTTTGGCAGAGATTGATTGAAAGAAAACTCCCATTTTATATATGAGACTATAGTTTTACTTTCGATTAATTAGAATTATGGCAACAGATTAATATCTCTTTAGGGGAAAAAACATGGATATAATTTTCTGCAGTATTCATGATTGCATGAGTGAGTGGTTCAAAAGCTGGCATTTTTCTCTGCTGTTGACTATTGCAATGGGTTACTACCATTTATGGCATTTTTTTCAGAAGAGCAAACACATTTAGTACCAAAAGCAGAAAGCAGATTGAATAGCTTTCAAAACCTCACACACTGGCAAAGCTAGATGTGCGATTGTCTTCAACAATTGCCTCCTCCTGTTTCTCATGAGCTGCGATATGAGTCTTCAAACTAAACTGAATTTTTTTTTTTTCCAGGCATATAATAATCATAGAATCATAGAATAGTTTTGGTTGGAAGGGACCTTAAAGACCATCCCATTCCACCCCCTGCCATGGAC